AAACAATCACACATTGTATGAGGAACTGGTAGGCTGTAGGTTACAGTGTGAGGAACCAGAGCCAATTACAATAGACCTGACTGGTGATGACACCGTGCATAGATGTCCCTTTAAATCTCACAATAAACTTAAAAAATATATAAAAATTAATAAATTTTTAAGGAAAACACAAAGATCACTTAAAAACACAATTTAATAAAAGTGAATCTAAGACTTAGAAAAGAAAGAATTAATTTAGTTAAAGATCTCCAATCTTGCACTACCCAAATGGATAGCAATAGGGAAATATATAATAATAATATAAGAAGCCTTCAGGGTGACTTATCAATAAAAGAGGGTATGTTGAGGGATATTTTCGAGAGGTATGAGGAATCCCAGCAGCAATTAAGCGAACGCCTGCTTGAGGCTGGGGAGCTGATGGACATGGTGAAATACAACGCTGAGAGATATGAGTCGTTAACAAATAATATTGTCTGCAGTTGTGTGAACCAACCTCAGTCTCCTGAGCCTTCTCTTGAGTCCTCCTCAATAGTAGCACACCCACAGAGAGTTGTTGGTAGTAGTAATAGTAGTAATTTAAAATATAAAGCATTAATATATGGGGACCAGCTTACATCTGGTTTAGGTAACATGATATATGGTCACTTAGACCATAATTACATTAACAATAGTTATCATAGTCTGAGTTACAATAAGATTATTGAAAAAATAACTCAGACTGAATATAATGAAAAATCAATATTAGTTTTATTAGTAGGTAACAGTTTGGATGTAAAAAAAAGGGACATTGTAAACGGTGTGGACACTTTATTAAAATTAAAATTGGGAAAAATAATACTTTGTGCATTTCCCTATTCGAGTACCTTAACAGACTCCAAAAATAGACATTTAGGTGTACTTAACAGTACGCTACACCAATTGACATGTTGTCATAGTGACAAATTAATTTTTTTTGATACTAATAAATTTATTAGTGATTTTATGTTGACAGAGAGAGGCATATCCCTCTCAAACACATATAGAAAAACACTTGCTATGCTAATAGCATTCAATATTAACTCTGTTATAAAAAATATAACAGATATTAGTTTTAGGGACGAATCTGTGCTGTCTATGCTACCTAACAACACAGTGATAGATTTAAACTAGATTTTAAGACAACAGAACATACCACCATATATAATGTTAGTAGTAAGGTATATTCTGGCAAAAAAAACTCATATCAAATGTTGTTACACAGGCTCAGGGGCAGCACAATCTTATCTTATTTTATATTAATATTCAGGGCTGCTCCTCTAAATTATTTGAATTAGAAATGTTCCTCGAGAAAACACAATTTGATATTGTGTGTTTAGCGGAACATTGGATGAAAGAGGACCAATTAATATCTTTTAATTTTGATAATTATATTGTAATAAGTAATTTTAGTAGAAAGTATATGTTACATGGTGGGTCCTTAATTTTAGTTAAAAATAGCATTAAGTCCAAAGAAAGGAAAGATATTGTAGCACTGTCAGTTGAACACACTATTGAGTTGTCCTGTGTTGAGCTGGATAGACATGTTGTTGTTTGTGTATATAGACCACCTAATTATCAGAATCTTGCATTGTTTGATTCTGTAATGGAAGATGTTTTGAGGAAAGTATGTTCTAGCCATAAATCAGTACTTGTATGTGGCGATTTTAATATTAATTTATTGGAGAACAATACAAGTGGCATGGAGCTATTAAATTTGTTTGAATCATTTAATTTAAAAAATGTTTTTCTAGAACCGACTAGGATAACACCCTCCACAGCCACATGTATTGATAACATTTTTAGTAACTGCAACTATTTAGAAAAAAAAGTTATAAACAGTTTACCTTCTGACCACAGTGGTCTTGTGGTTACTTACAGCTCTTATTTGCCTCTTCAAAAAATTCAAATAAAGTTTAGACATATAACAAATAAAAATTTAGAGAAACTTAATGTTTCATTAGCATCTAAATTAAGTATAGAAAATTTTGATGTAAGTAATCCAAGTAGGTTATACGAAAAATTTTTTACGGTGTTAAATAGGGAATTTCAAGATATTTTGCCAATGAAATATAAAGACGTCTATGCTAAGTTTCAGTTTAGCGATTGGGCTACCGCAGGTATTCGTAAGATTTTGAACTTTATGGCATGAAACCATACAATTGCGACCCTCTTTTTCATCAACATGTAAAATTGTACTCAAAGACATTTAGAATAGTATGCAAAACCGCAAAGCGTCTTTTCATCAGTAATAAAATAAAATCAGCTGAAGATAAGATAAAGGCTACGTGGAAAATAATACAGAATGAGACAGGTAGGAATAAATTAAAACATTCGGCTTTTTGTTTAAACACAGAGAGGAAACAGATTTCGTCAAGCACAGATGTAGCTCAGGAGTTTGAGACTTTTTTTGCTAATATACCTGTCAAAACAACGGCTCATTTAAAATCATCGGCCAGACTATCGGCAACTTTGCTTAGAGAAAATGTTAAATCATGCGAATGCGACTTTAGTTTTCATTATACTAATCCTTTAGAGATAATAAAGATTTTTAAAGAAATCAAGGTCAAATCAACTGAGGACCTTTGGGGACTATCCGTGAAAGTCTGCGGATCACTTATCTGAACTTTAGCGCCGTATCTGGTTTTGATTTTCAATAAAAGTATAGATGACGGTGTCTTCCCAAATCTAATGAAATACAGTAAAGTTATTCCATTATTCAAAAATGGTGACACTAAGGAACCAAACAACTATAGGCCTGTGTCTGTTCTGCCGGTTCTTAGCAAAGTGTTCGAAAAGTTAATGCTATCTCGGATGCTTCATCACTTTGATAAACATGCCATCTTCCATCACCAACAATACGGTTTCACTAAAGGTCGTTGTACAACTGACGCCGGTGTCACGCTGATAAAGGAAGTACTCGGTGCTTGGGAGGAAGCACAGGATGCTGTTGGTGTCTTTTGCGACCTCTCAAAAGCGTTCGATTGCGTTGATCATGAAACACTCTTGCTGAAATTAGATCATTACGGGATTAGACATACTGCACTCCGTCTACTAAAATCATATTTAGAAGATAGGCAGCTGAGAGTTCATGTGGGTGGTTATAACTCACAGGGCTCTGAGATAAGAATGGGCGTTCCGCAGGGTTCAATATTGGGTCCGTTTCTCTTTTTAGTGTATGTTAATGACTTGCCATTTTTATTTAAAGCTGAGCCAAGTATGGTGCTGTTTGCTGATGATACATCATTAATTTTTAAAATAGGTCGACGTTCTAATAATTTTGACGAAGTAAACAGCTCCATTCATCAAGTTCATAATTGGTTTACAGTCAATAATTTAGCACTTAACGAGAAAAAAACAAAATGTATTAAATTTAGCTTGCCCAACGTACACAGTAATGATTGTAGCATAATTTTAAATGGGCAAAAGTTAGAATTTGTCAAAGAGACAGTGTTTCTAGGTATCACACTAGACAATAGACTTCAATGGGGTTCCCACATAAAGACGCTTTCGGGGAGACTAAGCTCTGCTGTTTTTGCAGTTAGACAGATCAGACAGCTCACAGACGTGAACACAGCAAGGCTTGTCTATTTTAGCTATTTTCACAGCATTATGTCATACGGAATTTTGCTGTGGGGTCGAGCTGCGGAAGTAGAATCAATATTTATTCTACAAAAGCGGGCTATCCGAGCGATATATAACTTGCCCCGTCGCGAATCTCTGAGAGAACTATTTAAAACGATAAATATCCTGACGGTGCCTTGTCAGTTTATATATGAAAATATTATGTATGTAAGGAAAAATTTTCAATTATTTGAAAAAAGAAGCGATAGACATAATTTTAATACAAGAGGCAAAGATAGGCTGGCTGTGCCACGATTCCGTCTGTCCAAGGTACAGAAATCCTTTATGGGGTTCTGTGTAAATTGTTACAATAAAATTCCAAGTACTGTATTGAATCTTAACGAACGAAAATTTAAAACTTATATTAAAAGTGAATTGTGTAGACAGGCATACTACAAACTTTCAGATTATATTGAGGATAAGAATGCCTGGCAGCATGTTGATTCGGCTCCACTGGACAATACTCAAATATAGTCAGCAGTTAGGTAAAATTCTCAAAAATAATGCATCCTTAATTTATATATCCAAAAAGTTTATATAGAAGCACTCTTAAAGATTGTGAGTACGCATATGTGAGCGCCATGTTCGAGACGACAAAGGAGTTAAATTTTATGATAGGTCCCCTCATTTGTTCTTTTTTTTAACAACTTGTCTCTGCATTGTTCTCACATAAGGGTACACTAATGTATACTATAAATTTTATATTATTGAAATTGTAAAACAATTTAAAAAAAAAAGAGTAACGAATGGAGTTTCTTGCTCGTTCTTCTCCATTCGAATCTACAATTTGGAATGAGCACCTAGCTTCACTGACGAACAGACTGACAGACTACTTTTCTATTTTGACGTTTCAAAAGTACCTATTTATGGTTTAATTGGAATAAATGATTTTGACTTTGACTTTGACTTTGACACCGTCTGTCAGTGATGCCTCGGAAAAGTCACTTGCAATTTTTTTGCATAAGCCTAAATTTCCAGGTCGCCACGATATGTTTCTGACATTGTGTGATGACGATGACTTTACGCCATGTCTAGAATGTACAAATGTGGAGAAATTGAGAGTTGGGCACAAGGCCGCAGACTGACAGCGGTAGACCTCGGTAGTCGGAGGTACCAGGCGGTGTATGTCACATGATATTTGGTTCCCACGTCAAGTGGACCTACCTCTTATCTTGTATAGATAACTGGAGGCAACTCCCATGAGCAATCACTCACTTTTAGCATCAGCGCTGATAACAAGCGACACGGAGGAGTTCCACAGACGTAGCAGACAGACGCAGCGCCACGTCATACGAATGTTTAGTAATAATGTTTACTATCGTTTATCTTAGTACACAAGTTTGAGTGACGCGATACCCCCTGCATAATTTCTTTATTCTTTATTTGACGATTATCTTGATCGAGGTGCAAACTTTTATCGAAAATCAAACCTGAAAATGTATTTATGCTAACAATACATTACAATAACAAGGCACAGATTAGATAGCGCGGCACGTCGCGGCGCGCTGAGTGGCGGCTGGCGGCCTTATCACTGGTGTTGCAGGGCTGGCGCACGGCGGCCGGCGACCGGACCAACTGCTGCTGAACAATTAGACATACAGTGTTACAGTGCGCGACAAATTAAGTGATTACTCCAACGTGAGGCAGGGCCAGGGTGAACTATTCGAGATGAAGTGGAGTATGGTGTCGGTGGTGTGTGTGCTGGCGCTGCTGGTGGCGCTGGCGCGGCGCGGCTCGGGCGGCACGGTGCTGGTGGTGTTCCCGGTGCCCAGCCGCAGCCACACGCTGCTGGGTGACCACCTCGTCACCACCCTGCTGCACGCAGGACACAACGTAACTTATTTATTCCTACTCTTGCTTCCTACACGCTCATTGGTGTAATGTAGATAAGATCTCTATGGAGCCTGTGTATTGTGATCAGATGTTACAGTTGCAACTGTAAGCTCAGTTTCCTCAGTGCTGAAGCATGGCACCCCACACGTGACAACTCACGTGGTTTTGACTTTTTTAATAGAATTTTAGCTTTGTACGCCTTTCGATCCTAACCGCAGTATCCTACTGATGCTTGCAACACGCAGATAGATCCGTCTCCTATAAGTAGACTAGATACCTGTCTGTCTGTCGCAGGTAACATACGTAACGACGTTCACGAGGGTGAAGGCGAGCGACCGCTTCACTCTCATTGATATCGGCTCCGCTGCAGACGACGACGGAGGTTTGTTGTGCTCACGACACTGTATGCTTTACTATATAGTTCAAGGTTGAAGCTGCTCCTATATAACACGGTTTCAGAATCGAGTAGTGCGCCCCCTCTACAAGAACCAAGCTCCTCCCGTTTCCCACCCCATCAGTTCTTGGCAGAAGGCACCAGCATCGCGGAGCGAGCGCTGCGGCACCCCCGGGTGCAGACGCTGCTGAAGGACGTCACCCAAAGTTTCGACCTGGTGGTGGCCGAGTGGTTCTACTCTGGACTGTTGGCTCCGTAAGTTATTCGTTATACGGAAACTTAATCAGGGCATGTGATTAGCTAGGTTCTACGACGGTAAAATATGGCTAAACAAAATACAAGATGTTTGCGCTAGTTAGAATGAACGCGAGACTCGAGATGTTTTTTCAACAATAAAATGATAAATCAGGCCTCTATAATAAGGGTACCTACAACTTGAAAAAATAAATAGGCGGTCGAGTAATGAGTTCCAATATCGGCACTCCGAGATTATAACTGAACAATACTCGCAAACAAAAAGTTTTGTCATATCGCCGATAAGCTCTCTGAATGCAGAAATGTTAATCTTCGTCGAGGACGGCCGACAATAGATTAGGAGAGCGCTCCATCTGCTGACATAATGTTCTGAGCTTACCTGCTACGAATCGCTCGCATTTTTTATTATATCTATAAGTACTATAAATACGGTTTCTTAAAATGCAATATTTATTTAGTTTGTATGCTGGTTATATTTGACAAGTATTTTGTGTTTTACAAAATAACTACGCAAAATCCTGAAGAACCTTGTCAATATCATGAAGAAATATCAACTTGTAAATTGGCTCGACTTGTTGCCAAGGCACAACACACGAGACAGATGGCAGAAATGATAGATTGAACCAGTCGGAAGACAGCCTCCCAGTAAACACAATAAGCACTTGCAGGCTGGCGGAGGTGTTCGAGTGTCCTCTGGCGTGGTACAGCGCGGGGGACGCGTCGTGGCTGAGCGTGCAGCTGGTGCACGAGCCCAGCAGCCCCACCTTCTTCGTGGACCCGCTGGCCCCCAGCCTGCCGCGCCTGGAGCCCGGCGTGCCCGACCGCCTGCGCCGGCTCGCCAGGCAGGCCTACCTCTCCGCCTGGGTATAGTGGGTATATACTGACGCATGTTCTACTAACACCATGTTATGCTTGCTGGCAATACGTCACACTGCCCTCGCAGCGCTGTACAGCGTCACTCTGACGTATTGTACTGATAAAATATTTTCAGTGCAGTCAGCGCAGCGGTGCGTTCTTTGTGGTGCCATTGGCATTACGCTCGTAGCGTTGACGACACGTGATTGTATCTCGCATCAGATGATAACAAATGCATCGAGCTTGTTGGTCGTGCAGCCGCACGGGGCACCGACCTGTAGCTGTAAGTGGTTGCAAGCGAACAGACTCGAGACATTGAAATTATTTCAATTGTACTGCGATATACTCATGCATATAATAATATACTACGTACAGGGCTTTCTATACTACATGGTGACAATTAACGACTAGATGATAGAACACTTACACACAAGACACTCGCAATATCAGACAAGTTACAGGTGCATATCTTGCATATATTTATCGACCTTTTAAAACATCAAGCTCGTTATTGCAGTGAGCCAATATATGAAATAACTCGAGCGCCAACTTTCCAGCTACATGACTCACTACGTGGAGACTCCCGCGTACTACGAGATCTACCAGCTGGCCATACAGCTGCGCGGGCGCACGCCTCCGCTGTACGAGCAGCTGCTGTACGACGGGGCTCTGCTGCTGGTGAACTCGCACCCAGCGCTGGGGCAGGGCGTGCCACTGCCACACAACGCTAAGTACATCGGGGGACACCATCTCACGGCTACCCACTCCGCCCTGCCCAAGGTACTAACTGTAGGCACGCCTCGCGTACTTCTTGCACTGAATGTTACATAATTTAGTAGATGTATGAAGCACATGCATACTGACGAGCAACAGGTGAAGTTTTACCGCGGGGTCCACTCTACTCGAGCCGTGTAAAGCCGTACTTAAGTGAGCCATTTGTACTTGAGCTGAGCTTGTATGGTTTGGTTCTCAGCCACAATCAATAAGATAAATTGCAGTGATCTGATAGCCCATGGCCTCATTTCGTTACTAAAACCCGACCGTTTTATAGTTGAGTGAGGCAGCACGGTAACACCGTCGTAAACTTATATTGCTAACGTGACGTTTGAACCAGACGCGAGTTAACTTCTATTTTAGCCCGGAGTCAATTGAAATGTTCTTGCGGAAAAGATAAACTTTAAAATGGCGCTTGTGGAATATTTGGAGCTGCGCAGCCGTAAATATGATCATGATGTCTAGTCTGTTTATTATCTCTACCAGTGCACGTAGCTCCCTGCCTTGCCTGCTCAGCTCCTGCAGTCTATCGCCCATCCACTTATATTTGTTGCTAAGAACGAATCGGCCACAATTAGGAAAACATTAGATCGGCGCGCGCCGCCTCGCCATTATACAGTATTCGCAGAAGCAGCGAATGTAAATAAAAGGTATTCGCTTCATTTACTCGTTGTTTATGTAAGAGTCACTTGAACGGAACCCGTGAATATTCATGACAACTCTATAAACATCATTCGTTGCTGCACCTACCTTCGCGTGATCTTCGCAATACTGAAATATGCATAATTATATAATCGTATGTAAAAATATAAGTTTCAAGTCATGCGAAGCTTCCTACTTGTGTGATTTGCATTAAAAGCTAATAGAGTCAGAACCATGGCGCGAGCACCAACTGCTTGTGACGTCCGCTGCATAATCAACAACACTAAGTATGCATAAGCACTTTAGCAAGAAACTGACCGAGACCGAGGCAGTGTGTGTGTACGCACACACTCATACCATGTAGTGCGTAGACTGTAGCGAGCCTCTTGTCTCCGATAAATTCAATATGATCGGATGTGCCACTCGGCTCATCGAGTTCTTGAAAAGTTGGTGAATCCAACGTAAAAGCAGGTTAATGGGGTGAAAGAGCGTTACCTTTTGGTAAAAGGCGTCAGCAAAATTAGGACTTTCTGAGCTGACCTTTCTTAACGAGGCAATAAATGTGTCACGCAGAATCTTCAAACCCTGCTGGATAACGCTAAACACGGCGTGATCTACTTGAACCTGGGCGGCACAGTGAGCGAGGAGCTGCCGCCGGAGACGACGCGCGAGCTGCTGCGGGTGTTCCGTCAGCTGGAGCAGGTGGTGGTGTGGCGGCACCGCGGCGCCGGCGCGCTGCACCACGTGCCGGGGAACGTGCACCTCCTCGACCGCGCGCCGCACCTCGCGCTGCTCAGTACGGCACCACATACTCTGCTACCCTCCGACCTCGGTTTCCCTCTTTGTTTACCAGTACACGATCCACGAAGGTCAATAATGCTCCTAATTTAACTTCAGAACATCCGAACACCATCATGATGATCACGCATGGCGGATTCCTGTCATATATGGAGGCGATGTATTACGGCGTGCCTATTATTGGTGTGCCGGTGCACGAAGACCAGCTCCTCACCATAGACATAGCGGCGAGCAGAGGACGTGCCATTCAGGTGCCCATATCTAACGCTGGGATCGGTTACAAGCTCAAAGGAGCTATCTTTGAATTACTTGGCAACTACAGGTACGTGATCACAGATACTTATGTGTAGAATTAGTGCCAAAATTCAATATTTAAAATAAACAAATAGCTGCAACCAGCTAATTAGTAAGCGAGAAGTATATATCAATACCCACAATGAGTGATCGTACTAACGTGGACCGTGTCTGCGGGTGCGGGAGCCCCACTCTGTTGGCTAATGGAATCCGCTACTGGCCGCTCTATTTCTGACACGTTGGCGGCACTTCTGCGGTTGCCTACTTTATTATTTACAATTCTCCAGAGGACCGTGTTTCGTGTCGTCCATCAATCTTAGTGGAGATTATGGGGGCCATTTAGCGGATACAAGGTAATAGAGTGTCATAATTTATGAACACTCCGTTTTATTCTCTGGACGAAATAAATGAACTGGCGCAAAAAATAACGTTGATTCTTAATTTAGCTGTGACTGGAAGCAGCGTTAGCTAGATATATATTATATTTCACGCGAAACATATTAAATATGCAGCACATTTCTAAACGTTTGAACACTGTCTCGCAAACTTTTACGATTTGAAAAGCCGACGTTGGATTAGCAGAAATAATTAATCTCGATCCGAGTGATGAATAAAGTAAGAAGCCGCAATCTCCCCCTTATCTCGAACCTTTAATCTTCAACTTGATTAATGAGGTCTCCTCCGCGCGTCGCACCTTACTCTAACGCTTAATGACGATATTTCTACCTCCCTTAATGCGCTCACTGTAAATATGTGAATGAATAACACGAATTCTACTGTGATATTAAGTAAGAGAGATGAGACACATGTAATTTTTTCATTCAATTAGACCATGCAACAACTTACTCGGAGAATTTTCTGGTTCTCGCCCTAGCTCTGTTTTGAAAATTAACATTACTCGGAATTACCTGTTGACTCTGTCATTATACACTTAAAGGAGTTCGGATCATGTGTACATTTAGCAGAATACTTCCATATTGTATACAGCGTTTAATTCTAAGATATTTATAATTGAAAGCATCGATCATGAACATGGATACTGAGATAATTGAACGTAAAAACGAAAAAGGTCCGCCACAATCGTATCATTTTGCGTTCCATTTTATCTGCATGGAGTAAGCGTGAACGATAAGCGTGACAATACGGCAAACGACGTTGCTAATTTAATGGTAAAAGTGCGGGGGAAACGTTTGTTATTATATCAGTTTAGTTATAAACTATTTATCACCATGATTCCAGTTTGTCTAATTCAATTAACATTGAGACCTGACTGTCAGCTACCGCAACAACGCGAAGGAGATGTCGGCACTGCTGCAAGACAGGCTGGTGCCGGCCAGTCAGGAGCTGCTGTACTGGCTCGAGCTGGTGATGAGGACCGGCGGCGCGCCGGCGCTCCGCTCACCCGCGCTGCAGCTCAGCGCCATGCAGCGCTACCACCTGGACGTGATTGGCGTTCTCCTCATGTTCGCCTGGTTCTTGTCCAAGGTGGCCAAGCTCGTCAAGGTGTACTGGGACGATTTCGGGACCGATACTCAATATTTGGAAGAAAAGAAAAACGAATAAATTCACAAAATAAAATTGTCAAAATATGTTTTATTCAAATACCGTCCTAGCGTCTTCTATAAATCGTGGTTTCATCACAAACAAATATTAAACTTGCTTAGTGATAGCAGCAAAATAGTACTCAATCAATACGTGATAATACGTAGTTGTTATAGGCAGGAGGATAAACAAACAATAAAAGTTAGCAGCGCGCGCCGCCGGAGTCCCGTGGGAGCGCCGCGCCGCCCTGCAGGCCGCAGCCGGCGCGGGCGACGCCGCGCGAATAACTTAAGGGAGCCATTGTCATGCATATTGCATTACTATTTATATGTTATTCGGGTCGCTCACACACCGTCTCACTGATCCGCTCCAGCCTATTCATAAGTTTTGTTTATGAATGTGACGCTGGCCCCTTAAATAAAGAGCACAGTATATTATTATGCGAATTTGTTAATAAGTAGGTACGATCTACAATATGCATATATTTTTACGTATGACATCTAGTATTTTGCAGTTGGTAGAAGAGGATTTTTATTATTGCGTCAAATGAGCAGTGGTGATTCGGTAAGTTGCAAGTGCGCTGCTGGTCGTTGGGGGATTGTAACTTCGTTGGGATTGATAGAATTTGGATGGGTAAGGTATAGGTCCTGGTAACCTCACTCATACGGCGAAATAAAACCCTAGTGATTAACGGGTGAAAACTCAACTAAGTCACAGCGGGACTCTTATTCATGAGTAGCGTGCGTGACGTCGCGCAGCCGACATCAGCCATCAGTAGAGCGTTTCTCAATGAAGTACATAAATATTTGAATAAAACAATTTAGAAACGATTGAGGCGCAAAATAATAATTGATTACATTGACACCGCCCGTGTCGTGGGAGTGCAGCTGACGCGGTGAGCTTCGCTACTTCTTACAATGTTGGCAATTGAGAATATTACAAGAGCACCGTGTATGTGTGTAACGTCGCGGTCAGCCCGCGCCGGGAGCTGCGGGTCCGCGCTGAATTATTAACAACAAGAATCTACTCTCTTAGGATTCAGTAGTGTTAGCTGATAAGTGTGAGCCAACCCATCCCAACTTTAATATTGTTATAATCACACCGTAGTGTACTCCACGCACAAAACCTCCAGCTCTTGGTTCACCAGGTTTAATCGAATAAGGACATTATCTTAAAGCAAAAAGTAAAAACGTATCTCCTTGATGGATCATAGGCGAGCGATGCTTTTTGAGTTAAAGTTCCCTCTGCAAGATTTAAAAGTACAAGTGTTTTGTGTTGCTCGTTAGCGCTGAAATAATTTGTTGACACGGTTTGAATAGATGAATTAACTTGTTACAGTGAATAGTAACCTGGACATACGATACGGTGTAACAATACTAGCTATTTTCGCGCGGTTTCACCCGCTGCTCCTATTTGATCGTAGCGTGATATTTTCAGACTCAGTTTTTTTGACTCAGGAACTTTGTAGCTACCTACCAGTGATTTTTGCCAAAGAATTTTGGCAATCCGACCCGCGGTTCCAAAGATTACCCCCTACATACAAACTTACAAATTTTACCTCTTTATAATATTGGTATAGATCAAAGTTTGGAACCAGCGCCGGACTGCCCTTCTTAATTACGATCCTTGATCATATTATTTGCTGACGGATCTGCGCGATGTATGTACAGTACAATGCACTTAGTTGCAATACGTTGATACAGTGTCATCTTTGAGAGTGTGACTGCAGGCTCGGTGAGTGCAGTACACGCAGTCAGTCAGTAGTGTAGGTGTCCCAGACTCCCAGCTGCAGCAGGCTGCTGCTCGCCATGTCCCTGCTGATCTCGTTAGTCCGATCATCCCAGTCAGCTAGAGGTGCGCTACAAGTCAGCTAATATTAAGCAACGTGTGGTGAGGGAGGGTGCGGGGTGCCAGTTGCGGCAAATTGTTGCCAACTCTCGTGTCTACTTTAATGTAATTTATTAAATAATAAGCTCCTCGTCAAAGGAGGCATGTCTTTGTGGTTTTCTGTTTAAACCGAGGTTAAGTAGGGAACGTGCGTACTTTACCAAAAATTTCATAATTTCAGTTATTTTCTGTAAGTCTCGAAAATGATGGCGACGGTAAGGAGCCGCATGGCCGCATGGTAAACGATAAACGATGAATTTCTTTACTTGCAATAAGTACTTAACGTACACCGTCAATGTCGGGCCTACTACTGCATGCTGCGTGGTGTGATCAATGCGTGCGCTACACTGTGCGTGTGTGTGTGTGCCCGCAGAAGCTACCTGCGCAATATAATAAGATGGCAGTGAACGACCGCGACCACATCACTGCATGCGTTGTCCTGCGGAATGAATGCGATTAATAATACTTGATTGCCTTCACAATGCTATACATTATCGAATAATATCCATACAAGACGCGACTTTAGCCTATTGCAATAAGAGTTAAAATCGTTATCAGGAAACGGATAAGGGTAGCATTTAAGTATCGAAATAAAACTGTAATTGATTCATGACGATAAAGTGGCCCTCAGTCTCACGGCCACAGCGGCTGGCCGAGTCGATACTTGTGCTACTTATACAGCTGGAAGAATTCTCAAATCATTAAGTCACTGCTAGAGCTTGAGTTTACAGAATAGATTGATTAATTAAACGTGCCAAATACTCGGACTTACAGTATCTAAATAGCCACTATAAACTAGATAAAACCGGATAGAAAACGTACATATTATGAAGTGTGTGCAAAACAGATAGAGTGATATTGAAAACTATAGAGGTAAGTATGCATTTCCGCAACACGGTGTAAAGCCAGAGCGGTCGTCGCAGGCTGGCGGCCGGCCTACATTGTGTGCGGCCTTCACGTCGCGGGAACGAAAGTTGAGACATATAGACACGCACATTGTTGGTGTATCAATATTCGGTAACTGCCTGTACGTGTAAGTGCTCCGGCGACACTCGCGAAACTTGCTTGCGAACATAATATAACATTCATGAGCCACCCACACCTGCACACTCACTGTACACGCACACTTTGTTCCTGACATTTTGTTCGATATCAATCTGGTAACATCACTTCTCTGTTGTTTTCCATTTCTGAGAAACGACTTATTCGCAAAATAATAATTCCCGACTTGTGAACTATGTAGCTGGCTGAGGTGTAGGTATACCGGGGGGCAGTCGCAGCACTGCTCGTAGTACCAATGATGTATAAAACTATAGATACGTTGTCCGCGCTCTAAAATGACAACATGAAATGAAGGCAATTGACAACATCGCGCTTAGTTACGCACCAACCTGCCGCGCGACGCTACGTTTGTTTTTAATTTATATCGTGTGTAAACCTGTGCGAAACATAAAGAAAGCATGTCGTCGTGTGTGTTCAGACGATGTACAAATTATACTCCAAAAGTTAAAGACAAAAATGTGTCATTTCATGCGTAAGTTCACCAAACAACCTATTTTTATTTTATTTTTTTCGGCGCCGGCGCCCGCCATCTTATGGCGGCTGGCGCATGAAGGTATAGTCACGTGACGTCGGCATAACTGAAGATGTATATTTATCTCCCTCTAGCAAAGGCCTTCCACTATACGATGTCATATTTTCTTTCCCTTTCTTTACTCGTACAAGTAGTTATCTAGTATTTTCGCCGTTTTTAAGCGCCGCGATGTTGGTTCATGACGTGTCTATATATAATACGTCATTGCGTAGTACACAATCACGCGACGCACAGAATGAGTGGACTACTGTTCCATGCAGCAATGCGTGTAGGTAT